CAAAATGTAAGGAAGCAGCTCTTCAAGAACAGAAGTTTGGCCAGTGGGAAATGGGAGATGAGAGGGAGTTAAGCAGATAAAGCACCTCTGCTTTCTCATGGACTACTCAAAGGTATGATTCTTCTTTGCAACCCTTTCAGAGAAGTGAGCACACCTGCTGAGTGACCCACTGAGTCTCTTTGCAGTTCCCTGTCAAGACTAGCCAGTACACATGGCATCTTCCTTTGTCTCCCTTCCCTCTCTCACCCACTATCACTACTCTGGGCTTATACTTCAAAAATAAGGTGTTAACATTTAATCCTTGTCTCAGGCTCTGCTTACTGAGTTTATATGAAAACATTATTACATTAACTTATCCACTGAAACTTCCTGTCAGCCATTTGGATCAATGTTATTTATTAAATAATTTGTGCTTTCCACGATGATTTAAATTATCACTCCTACCATAAATCTGGTCTACATTTCAGTGTGTCTGTGACTGCTCCTTTCTGACAATCTTTTCTCCCTCACCTTTCATAACATTGCCCTCTCTGGGATTCCTCATATCTCTGACAATTCTTTCAAAGTCTCCTTTGCCCTTCCCTTAAAGGCCATTCTGCAGGGCTCTCTCCAGGATGCTTGCCCTTGGTGTTCTTCTGCATGCTAATGACTTCATTTCTCTGATAATAAAATGTAAATTATGGGTGAACATCTGTGGTTGTGCAGGTTGGTCAGTGCAGTGACCAACCTTGTTTGGGCACGTGGGGGTGAAATCCATTCTTCTCTCTGCTTGCCAAGCCATGTACTCATGCAGCTCCTCAGATTTCCATGTCTAGCCCAGATGTCCCCTGAGTCACAGACCCATCCATCCAAATATATGTTAGGCATCTCTCCCTGAATGCCCCCCGAAGAACCATACACTCAACATGGATTCATCATCTTTCTTCCAAATCTGTTCCTCCCTCATGTTCCCTATCCTCGCTACATGGCTCTGGCACACAAGGCAAAAAACTCAGAGGAAGCTGAGCAATCTTCTTTCCCTGACCTGCCACATCCTGTCTGACAGATTCTACCTCCTCCTCTCCAGCCACAGATACAGACGCAGCTACAGACATGGAGTTGACCTCATTACTTCTCTTCTCATTTAGTCTGCCATGCTCCATGTTTGCTGTCTTTAAACCTTTCACCCTGCTGCCACAGTATTCTGATCATGTCATGCCACCGCTCTGAACCCTACCATAGCTTCCCACTACCCACAGGGCAAAGTCCCAATTCCTCAAAGTGCCTCGGGAGGTCTTATTTGGGTCAGACCCCTAACCTCCTCTCTCACATCTTTGTTTCTTGCCAAATACATCAGCTTTTCCTTGCCGCCTTGCCTTTGCTCATGCAGTGACCCAGTGTGGAATCCCCAAGTCAAGGGCCCCTCCTTGAAAACTTGTTTGATACCCAGATAAAGTTGACAGATCCCTTCCTTGAGCCCCCCAGAGTTCCATGCTAACACCCACAACGCTTATTAGTTCTTACGTTTCTCTGATTCCATTAGAACTGCAGTCTTTGAAGGCCAAGATAGCCTCTTACTGGATCTTGTATCCCCAGAGCCCAGCTAAGCACTGTGACAATCCCTTATAAATTCTATAAGTTCCCTAAGTGGATTGGAAAATAAGCAGATTATACAGAGCAAGGTAATACAAATGTAAATTGGACTTTAAGCTAGTTATATTTGTATGTGGTATAAAAATGAGGACAGAATGCCTCTTGTGCCCAAGCGCCCTCTGCAAAAGAAGTGATTAGGAATTACGGGATATTAGCACTATTTGAAAAAAAGGTGGACAGACAAGAAGAGGAATGGCTCATGGTGGCTTATAGCAGGGCACTGGTGGCATCTGCTTCCTGGGCAGTGGTGCATGGCTCTGAGCTAAGTCACAGGTGGGAGAGACTCAGGAGTTGGGGCAGAAAGGTGGACGCAGCAGGCCCAGCTGTAGAAGACAAACTCAAACGGCTCCAGGATTCAGAAGATCAGATAAATGCAGGTGTGAGAAGAGTGAGTGGCTATTCTGATACTTTTCCTGCAGAAAGGCAGTTAGGTTCAAAATTTTATAAAGCAGCCCATTAGCCAAACAAAACCCGTCTAGGAAAGGATTCCAGAGAAGAACCAGAATGACAGTCAGGCTTCCCATTCCCTTAAACTAAGGGGAAGTACTTACCACGATGTTCAGGGGCTGCACTATTCCCCCAAACATGACTAATTCTTTATTATCAGGGAGGAATTTCTCATTGGCAACCCCTTCTTCATCCCTTTCCATCTGAGCTGAAGGGTACCTCCTCCTCCAGGAAGCCTCCCTTGACCTTCCAGGGTCTCACCTGAACATGCTCTCTAAACACCCTGGCTTTTCCTTCACAGCCCTGCTTGGGATTATAATCAAATATATATTCACTTAGAATCTGTTTCCTCTATAAGAAGAAGCACTTTGAGGCCAGGGGCTGCTGCTTCTTTATTATTACATCCCCAGCATCCAACACTCTGCCTGGAGCATATTTGAGGCCCACTAAAGTATTTGTTGAATGAATGATTCAATCAAACAGATAAAGAATGAATTAAACCACAAACAAATAAAATTGGCATGTGTTTAGAATGTACGAATAAGGAGCCAGGATTACCACGAGCATATCAGAGGAGGGAATGGCTTAGTAGGGCCAGTCCAACTGCAGATGACAGAGAGACTAGAGCGGGGGTCGGCAGCCAATATGGCCTGTGGGCCAACCCCAGGCCACCTGTTATCATATGGCCCATGAATTTCTGAACTGAGAGCATCTTTTTTATTTTCAAATGGTTAAAAAGAAGACTATTTCATGACATGCAAAAATTATTTGAAATTCACATTTCATTGTCTGTAAATAAAGTTTTATTGGAACATAGCTACATCCACTGGTTTTATGGCTGTTTTCATATGACAGTGGTAGAGCTGAGTAGCTGTGACAGAGACTATATACACCCCAAACTCTAAAAGATTTACTATCTGCCCCTTTACAGGAAAAGTTTGATGAATGCCTGGCCTAGAGTCTCCTGGGATCGCTATATCCAGGACCCACAAAAAGCCCTGACTCAGTAGCATATGCTAAAATCTGACCCTCAAAAAAAAGCTGCCAGACACTGTCTGTTAATGTAAAATGAGACTAAAATATCCCCTTAATAAAGAGGGGTTAGTTAAACTAATGATAGCATATACTAGCAGTGGACTACTACACAACTATTTTTTTAAAAATGAGTGAGACTGAAATGTATAAGTATAGAAAGATGCCCATAATACACTGCCAAAGCAATTTATAGAACAACATGGGCCGTATTCTCCAATTTATTAGAAAGAATAACCATACATATGTTTAGAAGGTGAGAGAATACAAATATCTGGAATAATATGCATGATAAACAGCTCTAGAGAATGGAACCAGGAATTTCTACTTTTATTTTAAACACTTTTGCACTCACTGAAATTTTTTACTATTTTTTTACTATTTTTTTTACATTTTTAAATATACTATTCTCTAACTGAAAACACACACCCTCTCCCTCTTCCCTGTCCCCTCCTCTCCCCTCCTCTCCCCTCCTCTCCCCTTAAAACACACACCCTCTCCCCTCCTCTCCCCTTCCTCTCCCCTCCTCTCCCCTCCTCTCCCCTCTCCCTCTCCTGATTTTAGAAAGCCACGCAATTTTACCCCCTGGCATAGATCCAAATGCTTGATGACCTCAGGATCATATGGTCCAATTTCTGCATTTTGCAGATGGGGAACCGCACATAAACACTTTCCTCTGAAACTTCAAAGTCTGATAAAAGTGCAAAATTGCTCATGTGTTTGTTTTGAGGAAGCTTAAGATTAGAATGGTCAGAAATAGTCCTACTTCCCTTTTCCTAGAAACCCCAGTTACCTATTCAACTGGAACACACCCCTCGAGCCTACGAAGGCCAGGTTGCCAGGGGATGTGAACAAACCAGCCAACTGAGTAGCAGCTGTCAGTTGCTTTCTCTGTTGTTCTTTCTAAATAGCAGCTGGCTCTCCTGTCACCAAGACCCCTCCAAGTGCAAGTTCATAATCAGCAGTCATATTAATGGTCTCATCATATGGGGCAAGATGGCCATAAGTCAGATGGGCACAGACAAGGGAAGTGAGAAGCCCAGACTGAGCCAACAGGTAGATCTGGGTAAGATGTCAGGTTCTGCCTTGGCACACACATCTACGATTTCTACCAAATCCAACTTCCTGTATTTCTATCCTTTGTTCTCTTGTGGCAATTGCCTTGGGGAATCATGGAGGTCGAGAGGCAGGGCTGTTAGCTGGTTTTGCTCTGCCCTGCCCAAGATGACAGCCTACAACACTACTCTGCTCACCTTATTATAGGAATCCGTCACTACTCCTTTAATTAACCTTTTCCAGCCTTCTTGCAGCTTACCCTAGAGTCTACATCTTGGGGCCCTGGAGTCACTGTGAAGACTCAGAAGTCCATAACGACTGGAGGCATAGAGGTGCAGTCCTACATCTGTTAGAATAAATAATCCATAAGTAGCCCCCAGCATTCCCCAAAGAACATGCCAAGAAACTCCAGCCAGTGAGATAATTCATAAAGAGAAAGAAATGTGGTGAAGTTAAGGAAACCACACTTGAAATGCCTGTTTGGGAGCTTCTATATCAGCACATTCAAAAGTCCAAGAAATCATGCGGTGGCTAAACCTGTTCCACTTGATTTAAAACAGCTGTTGACCACAGAACCTTCTGAAATCCCGATTTGAAGAACACAGTTCCACACTGCAAGGTTGGTTTCAACAAATATGCCCAGGAAGGATGACCTTTCCCAATCCACTCTCAGACTCCCACCACCCAGCACTGTGGGGAAAGCAGCCTCTGAGGTAGATTTGTAAAGAAAAAGTCTAACAACCAGAAAGTGAAGGAGGGAGGAGAAAGCCTGCCTCTCCAAAGAGGCAGAAACCCAGGGGCTGGTGCAGGATGCTCCCCAGAGCAAGACTCACCGTTGGTGGTCGTGTTGACATAGTAACGCCGCCCCTGAGGAGACAGGTAGCTTTGCCAGCCAGGTGGGAGAATGACAGTCTGGCTTTCCTCTCCTGGTGGAGGGGGGACCATTCCAGGCTTCTGTTGAGGAGAAAAGAAAAGGTCACACACATTTGGCATTTTTGCAACTGTTTTTCAACGAGTAGGTCACAGGCAGATGAAGTCAGCGTGGAATAGCTCCACAGTGTGTGTGTAGGGGGGGCGGAGGAGGGATTGCCCGCAGGCATCCCTAAGGGAGGTCACAGGCCACACTTGTGTGATTTTGGCGGTTGTTGGAGTGTGAGGTGTGAGGAGCACTTGCTTTTTTCAGAGCCACACAGCAGAGGCAGAGTCCCCTAGAGAACAGAGGGAAGTGCCAGTCAGTTAACAGCTCAACTTTCTCCTCATGGGCCCTTAGAAAACACTCACAAGGTGCTGCGCTTCCTGGGGGCCCATCATGCCACGGACTCCTGCTGTGGAATATGAAGACTGAAATACTGGGGACTACTGAGTAGAGTGGCAGACGAGGCCCAGGGCCTGCTGTGAGACCTACCACAAGTAATTAATGCAAGTCTCAGCACAGTGAGATGTAAAACCTTCCATAATAACGCTCAGAATCGATGAAGAGTGAGGTGGGGTTTTCTCAAGTGTCCAAATCACTCTGGCAAAGAGAGCTGGGAATCTGAGTTAGAACGAAGACTGACCTTTCATCATATGCACTTAGGTGCAGTTTAGTTCCTTTAACCATGCACAATAGTACTTTTCTTTAAAAAACAAAGTTGGAAGAAAACATTTAGAACATAGAGAAACTAGGTGTAGACAAAAATGCTAAAGCAGAGGTGATTTCCAGTGGTGGAATTATGGGCAGTTTTTATTTCCTTCTTTTTACTTTTCCATCTAAATTTTCTTCAATAAACACAAAAATAAAAGTTGTTAGCTAAAGAACATTTAAATTTAAGGAAAGGAGGTCCAAACAGCTCACATAATTTCTATGCCTTGTGAAGAAAGTAAATTGACTAAAGATAGGATTCTAGCCACAGTATAAGAGAAGCCATGAATTGCTCAGCAAAGCTGGACCCTGTTCAGAAATATGAAAACTAATCAGCTCCTAAATGTCCTCAGCATCCCCCAGCCATGCCCACGAGGCAGTTTTTGGTCACTGATGACCACAGCTTAGGAAAACAAGATAATAGATTGAAAGTGAGCAGTAGAGACACAGCTCCCAGACTGCTCTGAGCTTTCTGCAGACTGCAAAGCAGCACGCTTCTGGTTCCTATGGTGCCCTGCACGCCCTCAGCAGGGATGGGATCAATCCTCGCTATTCCTAGGCGTTCAGAACTTTAACTAAACACAGCCTCCCCATGGCCCTCCGCAGAGCTGCAGTGTATGTTTCATTATGAAGTTTCACAATTTAATTAAAAACCTTTCCCTATGCCCTGAACGCTTCTGTCTCTCACACCTGTTAACCTACAGCACCTCTTTGATTCAGTATGAAAGACTGGCTTCTAAAGTGCAGGTGCCGGGGAGATGGACAGCAGCCAGAAGCCTTCTCACCAGCAGAGCATGTCCACTGAGCCCAGTGCACACATGGGCACATTTACCTGACCTCCAGACACTGCTCTGCTCTCTCAGATTGGAAGACGGTCAAAATGCAATCAAGAGAAAAAGTCTTATATTGAGTACAGAGAGAGAGAGGGAGAGAGAGAGGGAGGGAGGGGGAGAGAGAAAGAGGAAAGGAGAGGGAGAGGGAGGGAGAGGGGGGAGAAAGGGAGAAAGAGAGAGAGAGAGAGAGAGAGAGAGAGAGAAAGAGAGAGAGAGAGAGAGAGAGTGTGTGTGTGTGTGTGTGTGTGTGTAAAATATCCCACATACAGGAGATTTTGGCTGCATGGGATTGGGAGTAAAGTAGGAACAGGGAGGTCAGGGAGCTCAGGCAAAGAAAGAAATAATCTAGAACTAGGTTGCTTTTGTTTGAGTCAGGTAACTTACAGCATCTAAGATGGGAAGGCCAGACTAGTGTTTGTCCAAATAACCTAGCAGGAAGTAGGATATTGTTAAAAGGATATGAAGCAAGGGTCAGTGACTGACACGGCCAAAAACAGTTTGTAGAGGAGAGAGGGACCCAGAAGCACAGTGAACACAGCCCTCCAGCCTTGGGCTCAATTCTGACTTGGCCACAGCCTCGGGCTCAATACTGACTTGGCCACTTAGTAGACCTGTGACCCAGAAAAATGACTCAACCGGCTGTGTCTATTTCCACATCTATAAAACAAAGGATGATGTTAGCCCAGTTGTGGGAGACACCGTGGAAATTAACAATGACAAACTCAGCACCTAGGAAAGTGCCTGTCACCAAGAATTCTGAATAAACAGGGGTTTCCAGCAGAAGGGGGGGGCCATCTAGATACTGAGTGAGATCAGGCTTCATATAGCCTCTACCAACAGCAGCGCGAAGTTCACCCCAGCCTCACCATCACTGCATCTGAAATGTCACCAACAACAGTCACTTCTCCCTGGTTTCTGTTTCCAAGACGACCTGACTTAAAAGACAAACACAGACCTGCTGGGGAGGTTAACACGTTAAGACGTTGACTATTACATTCCTGGTGAGAAAGCTGGGTGGTGAGAACTCTCCCTAGCTGGGCCGGCTGAGCGAGTGGACCGAACCTTCTGACTCTGTGTTCCACCTGTTAAGTAGCAACAATGACACCTGTCACGTCTCCACAGCTGCATGGTGCTTTGCTCTTTAGAATGACTCTAGTTGATTCATTTAAATAACCTGTGGGGTCAGAAAAAGCCTTGGCTTACATTTGATGACCAAGGAGGTACCATCACTGCTCTGAGGTCTCTCCAACTGGGAAATGCACGACCTGCCATCTTGAAAATTTCGGAAAGTGCCTGCAGGAGAGGCACCCCTGGTACTGAGCCAGGATGGGACAAGGGGTGCTGAATGAGGGGAGGAGGACACCCAGGACAATTTCCTAATTTGGCCAACGCGGCAAAGGTGGACTCCATATTCCCCTCCAATACGCCCATGGGTCTCCAGTCTGCCTGCCATTTGACAATGCTTTGCTTCCATTTCCCCAAGGCAACCTCTCCCAGAAAGAAGTTATTCCTGTTGGCTGGACTGAAACAAGTGAGGGGTCAAAAGATGTGGCTGGCGACAACTGGGTATATACCCAAGAGAACCGAAAACAGTGCTCACTTTTACACCTATGTTCTAGCATTATCCACAATAGCCAAAAGATAGAAACAATCCAAGTGTCCATTAACTGAGGAACAGATAAACACAATGTGGTGTGTATCCATACAAAACAATGTTGAGCCATGAAAAGGGATGAAGTACTGAGACATGCTACAACATGAATGATCCAAGAAATAAGCTAGACACAAAGGACCCACATATGGTATGATTCCATTTATATGAAATGTCCAGAATGAGAATATCCAATAGATACAGAAAGCTAATTAGTGGTTACCAGGGGCTTGGAGGGTGACGGGAATAGGAACAGGGTTTCTTTTGGGGTGTGATAAAAATGTCTTAGAACTAGATAGTGATGGTGGTTGCACAAAACTGTGAATGTGTAAAAGTCACTGATAAATTTCATGTTCAGTGTATTTTGTCACAAAAAAATTTTTTTAGAAAGACGTAGACGAGGCAGAAGTTGTCCTCCCAACTAGCAAGCTGTCATTTACGAAGCCCAAACAAGCAACATTACCTCACCCCTTGTGGGCATGGAGGTACAGGCTCCTGGGAGAACTGCTCCACAGCCACCGAGAAGATACAACACGAGTAACTACCCAATAATTAAGGTCTCTACCAAACTTATTCTTCTCATTAGTTCCTTTCCAAGTTTAATCCTTCCCTTCCCTTCCTCAGTCCTGTGGCTCCTCCCCTTCCATTCCGTCAGCTCTTTCCCATGGGAACAGGACCTAGAAGCAGGGGCGACACAGGCCCTATCTACAAGGAGCAAGGTAAGCAGGCGTGGGCTGAGATGAAGACGGTTTTCTCAACTCAGAAATTCTTAACCTAATGCACAGGATGGCTTTGTGGGAGTTGTAAAACACTACCTCTTGCCCTGGATGGGCCATCCCCCAGGGTGCAAGATAGGGTTTCAGCTTCCCTGGGCCCCCTCATCTGGGTCCCCTTGTTCAGTCAACAACCTGCTCAACTATACATGGAAACCCATCCTCTGAGAATCTGAGGAAAACTCGATCTTCTGTCACCCAAATGGAGGCATGTATGTACATACACTCACCCTATTTTATCAAGAGCTTTCTAGACCAGTTCAGAACCCCAGTCTAATAGGTACTCAAGAAATGTCTGCATTCAGATCTCACTTCTGCCCATCGATAATGACTTTGACCACTCACCAAATGTCTGTAAGTGCACCAAGGACTGGTCAGGTGATTTACACACTTATCTCTTTACAAAAAGCCTGCCACATAGATCCCATTTTAAAACAAGGAATCTGGGACTCAGAGAATTTAATAACTTGCCTCACATTGCGCAGCTAAGTAAATGGTCAAATCCAACTTTAAAATATTAGCTTTGGTCTAGACACTTCCCTCAAGTTACCTAAATCCAGGCTACCTTCAGACCATCTCTCACCAGCTTTCCATAATCGGCTTCATTTTTTTACCTGGACCACCTGACATTCCAGCTCCCACCCAAGGAGGGTAACAACTCAAGCCAGATTCTCCTGCCTGTCGCAGTCTCTAAGTGTGCACATGCCTTCCCTGGAGATGTGCAGAAATATCACCACCCACATCCAAGCAGTCACGTTCCCTGGCTGTAGGCTGATTTCCTTGTCTCCTTATTTAAAACAACACAACCAAAGAAAATTTCCCATTAATAATGGCTACTGACTACCCCTGGTGGTGGGGGTGGGGGGCAGGGGATGAGCAGGCAAGCATAGGGAAGTCACCCAGATCAACCTGGAGCCTGGGAAGTCACCTTTTAACATGTATCCTAGGTGAGTCTTATGCTCACTAAATTCAGAAGAGACTGGTTTTCAGCTTTAGAGGGAGCAACTGAGAAAAAACATCACTTCTAAAATCAAAACTGAGAACATACAAATTTTAATAAACACAATTTATAAAAA